AGAGACAAGACGAAGTATATATATATGTTGTATATATATATATATATATATATATATACATGTGAGTGTGTGTATGTATGTATGTATGTATGTATGTATGTATTTATGTATGTATGTATGTATGTATGTATGTATGTATATGTTTGTGTCTGTATGTATTTATGTATTTATGTATGTATGCATGTATGTATGTATGTATGTAAACGTATATCAATTTGTATATATTTATAACCCACACGTTACCAGTTATCTATTATACGTCCTGTTAGTGGGCACTAGACGTATATCGCCATGCAACGCAAATTCCATCTTTGTCGAAGTATGACGTCCAGGCATTACGGATTGACCCATTTTCAGTTTCCGACCACAAACTGTGCCAACTGGTAGTCGCTCATATTCCTATCCCTCCCACATGTCGTATTTTCTCACACACTGTTGTCTTATTTCCTGGCTTGCTGTTTTATCATCCATCTCAATATTCAGAGTACGACTTCCAGGCCCTTCCCGATGAACCGGAATACATTCCGGGGTACACGATGGACGAATTAGAGGACGTGCAGGAGCTGTCGCTTACACATCTGTCTCTACCCTTACTGGAAAATGCCATAGAAATATACGAAAGCACTCGAGACCCCTCCTTCCTGGTCAATACAATCCGAACCGTCTTTGCATCGCCTCAATGCCTGGGCATGAGCTTCAGGTGCGATTGAATGTAGCACAGAAGCGCTCTGCGGGTAGTTGTTTTTGTAGTTGAAATGACGAGTATATGTTTCGGATTGTACAGCTACGTTGTTCGCGTTAAAGTTGCGACTGGTCACAACACGTGTATCGTTGCGCACGTACACACATACACAGACACACATATGCATTGCATTTATACGTTTGCACCTGTGCAGTTATATACATCCACACATGTATAGTTTGAATATGTATATGTGCATCTATGCAAATGTATCCGTTTACACACACGCATACACACACACACACACATATATATATATATATATATATATATATATATATATATATATATATATATATATATATATATATATATATACTACTACTACTACTACTACTACTACTATATATACTACTAGTAGTCGTGTCGTCGTACGTTACTTACGTTTACGTTACGTTACGTTACGTACGTACGTACGTACTCGTCGTCTCGTCTACCGT